TCCTCAAGCTGACATCTTTGCTCTTCAACACTTTAAAAAGGTCTTGTGCAGCAGATTTGCCTAATGCAATATGTCGTTTGATTTCTTGACTGCTGCTTCCGTGAGTGTTGTCACGGAAGTGTTGTCACTTCCATGTGTATTAGTCATCTTTTATGTTGTTTTAAAAAGGTATTTGCAATGAATAAACCATTGGTTTTGCATAATTATGTCATGCGATCTCCAGCATCATTTCTGTCACCAAGGCCATATTTTCCAACTACTGTTCCTTCCACTTTGTTTCCAACCTTTGCAGTCCAATCACCAATATTATCAATACATTTTGATTGTATGTTTGATCAATTTCAGGCTGAAAAAGTTGGTAGAAGCCTTCAATCTCATCATCATTGGCTTTAGTGGTTGGTGTGTAAATTTGAATATTAGTTGTATTAATTGGTCTTTTTTGTAGGCATATGGATACTATTCCGTCACAGATAGCATTATACTTCAAGATAAATCTTGAAATGTCCTTTTTGAAGACGAATGTGGCACCATTCCTCTTCAATTTAGCATTCCCAACATAGTAAACCATAAGATTATCAGATTCAAAATGATCAATACCAGTCCATTTCAGCTCTGTAACACCTAGGATAATGATCTTTATGCATTCCATTTCACTTTTGAAAGCTTCCAATTTTTCTAGATTCATACTTAGTGCATTCCATGTTCTGATAATTAATGAATGTTCACAGCTGCTTCTTCTCATTTTAAGTTGTGCTCCATTAGCCAGTGAAGGTCTTGAAAGCTTTAGTCCAATCACATCATTACAGTCAACTCGACTCTGAGGAGGCAACTCTACTCAGTTCTGTTTCGAGTGCCTTCCAACCCCAGGGGCTCACCTTTCTGGCACTCTACCCGACACTATGCTGGGGCGCTTCCTCACGTTTTCATCTTCTGGCACTACATCTGACAGTGGTCCACTGCTCTTCGTAAGCTTTTCAGTGACTAGACATTCAGAAGTAGTCTGCTTCTCCTTCTTCCCTCTCTGTCTTAGTTTGGAAGCACTGCTGAGACCTGTCTACCATGGGTGACCCTGCTGGTATTTAAAATATCAGTAGCATAGTTTCCAGCATCACAGCTACCCACAAACCACCACAGTACGACAAGCTGACAGACAAGTGGTGGTTGGGTTAGCAGTCTCGAGCTTGCCCTACACCAGGTAAGGCTATGTGCTACCATAGAGTTGACCGTCTCAGAAAGCCTAGAGAGGTCCACTTTGTCCTATAGGGTCACTCTCAGTCAGAGTCTACTCGATGGCAGTGGGTTTGGTTTTAGCCACTAATTTCCACTGTTGTTGTTAAGTGCGGTGGGTCAGTTCCAACTCATGGCGACCCTGTATAAAGTTTCCAAGGCTTTAAATCTTCCAGGGAGCAGAAAGCCTCACCTTTCTCCTCTGAAGCAGCTGGTGGGCTCGAACCACGGACCTTGTGCTTTGCAGTCCAGAATTTATTGTATGGAGCCACCACGCTTCCAGTTTCCACTATAGTGATCTTAAGATCTCACTTGGGCTAGCACATCCGTAATACTCACTCATTTGTAATACTCTTCCCACTATGAAGACCAAGTGGGAAGCCAATGAAATGACCATAAAGAGAGTGGTGACTTGCTATGCTTTGGCCTAACGGACTCCTCTCTCCTGTCCACTTCAGATTTGCTGACCATGAAAGAATATCACTGTCTGCTGCAACTACTGTGCCCCGACTTCCCGCTGGAGCTCACCCAGAAAGCAGCCAGGTATGTCTCTACTCAGGCCTCTGTGGACCATAGCTGAAATGTATATAAGTGCAGTGAACCCATATTGTTGTTGTTACGTGCCATCAAGTCGGTTCTGACTCATAGCAAATGTAGTGTTGCCAAAGAGCTGCTGGTGGGTCTGAACCACTGACCTTGTGGTTAGCAGTACAATGCTTATCCTACAGCACCACACCAGGGCTTCATGAAGCCATTAGGGAAAATCAAACCAGTAGGGAAGAAATTGGCATTTAGAAAGGGGTCAATTTGGGATTTGTCCAAGAAATATACTCATTTTTTGTGTTTCAAAAGGGAAGCCAATGATCCTTTGTGGTTTTGTGGGGAGTCTAAGGGTCTGACGATAGGAAATGGTGAGATGAAGAGGCCAAACATACATACACACACACACACACACACACACACACACACACACAAATTCCAGAGGCTATTCTGAGCAAACAGGAGAGGGGCAAGAGTTGGCAGTGACTGATGATGTAGGGGGTTGAAGTTGGGGTGGGGAGCGGAATGAAGACGATAAAGCCCTGGCTGAGGAAAGGGTGTATTGTACTATTTCTGATACAAGAAGGCTTTTATGATTAGTCCAGAACCAGGAGAACTTGGCAGAAAAAAAGTAAGAAGCCCCTAATTTCTGGGTTTGGTTTCACTGGTATTCCCATGTTTTTAAGGAGCTCTGGTAGCGTAGTGGTTATGAATCAGGCTGCTAACCTCAAGGTCAGCAGTCTGAAACTACCAGCCATTCTGTAGGAGAAAGATGAGGCTTTCTGCTCCCATAAAGATTTACAGCCTCGGAAACCCTATGCAGGGTCTCTATGAGTCAGAACCAACTCCATGGCATACCACCATCACAACTTTAACACAGTAGAAACTTAAGCTCAGAGTTTAACTATAGTGGCTGAACTTGTTGCTAGCTGGTAAGTGGCAGAGGCAGAATTGGAACCCAGGTCTGCCTGAATCTGGCCTTTGCTGTCTACCTCCTTACCTTCCTGCCTTCCTGGGCTGGGCATCAGCTCAGCCTGGAGCATTTCTACTTGGTGAGTTGACCCAGTGACACCAACGCTGATTGGCTGCGCCACACCAAGAACCACCTCACTCCTGAAACAAGCCAACCACCCCTCCACAGTCTAGGATGCTGGGAATTCCACTGCCACCAGCCACACACTAGGACAGGCAATTTTGCAAGTCACAGATCATGAACTAATTTTTCTGGGTATATGCAGAGCCTGTTTAGTGATCACATACCCCAAATTGTGTAGGGTGTGTGTGTGTGTTTCCCCCCTCATTGTTCAATGGATACTTATCTTTCCCAATGGCAAGTGGCCACTGGTAAAAGCTACAGGTCTGCTTTTATAATTGTAACTGATCTATGCTCTGAAGGAGATTTGAGTTTGTTTCAGTGGGGGAAGGAGGGGGTTTGGTGTGCTTTTTCCTTCGCTGAAAAAAAAAAAAAGTGTGGGAGATTGCATCTCATAATTTAAAAGTGGCCTAGTGGAGTTAGCTTCAGATTTCCACAATAGCGCCCCTCTGGGCTCAAATCATTCTAAGGAAGACTTAGCTATACACTTTTCTGTTGTTGTAGAAAATTTTGGCTTTCTTAAAGACTGTACTTAATAAAAACAGTCAGCTATGACTCTAACTAGAAAATTTCTAAATAAAGAACTGTGAACAAGAAGAGTGTGTGTGTTCCGTGACAGCGGTCTTGCTGACTGCTGGGTCACCATTGCTTAGGAGAGAACTGGGTAGGTGCTGGAGTCGCCGTGCCTTCTGCCTGGCCCCGGTAATCCATGGCTGTAAACGACAGTCTGGAAGGACAAGGGTCCCCCAGTACAGTCTATCTCCATATGTTTGTTCATTTTGGGATTGAGCCCTTGTTTGTGGAGTGCTGTTTTGTACCAGGAGCTGGTCTGCATGTGGTGCTGTGCTGGGGATATGGTGATGAATAAGAGATCATTCTTGCCCCTCAAGGAATTTGGCTATACCCATCACGCTGCTACCTCTGAGTGACATGTTGCCTTGATTTCTACCATTCCAGAACAGCTACTGTCCTCCTTTCCATTCCTGAAAGGTGGGAGGAGAGCTCATGCCTTGTGTACGATTGTGAACCCCAGCAGCTGCTCCTGTCTCCTATTCCTTTCCAAACTACTCGGTGTATGTAAGCATTGCCCCGACTTGAGTGATAGGACCCTCTCAGAACCACCGATTCATACAATTCTTGATTCTCACAATGCTTACTGCGGTTGGTCAGAAACTTCAGACCTCTATGTTTGAGAAGGAAGCACTATAGCCAGTCTGTATCTGTCACAGTGTGAGGGATTATGGGAATGCAAGTCCAAACAACAAAATTACTCCCAGGGTAATCCTTGGAGCCCTAGCTGCAAAGTTAGAGATGAACTCAGAATTAGGGAAAGCTTGTTTTCTCCCCAGGTCTGAGCATTGGGGCTTCTCTGTCAACCCTATCTCTCCAGTACCGATTTCTTTCCCCACCTCATTCCTTTCCAGCTGGGGGGAGTGGTGTGTGTATGGAAAAGTTGCATCTGTCCCAGAATGTGCACTCTGCTTAAGCTGTCCTCATTTTGTCCTGGATGTCCGGATCCCAGTGTCCCCACACATGCTCAGGCATCTGAGCAGAGTCACAGATGGGAGAGGTGACACCTCCAAGGCATTTGCTTTTGCTAGACTAGGGCCTGTCTCCTGGCTCGGATGACTTTATTCAGGCCGCAGAAAAAGACTCCGATCTGTGGTGATGTGTGCCTCAAAGAATGTCCTCCACCGGCAGCTGTAAACCAGAGCCTGTTTAGGGGCATGGTGACTCCACACGTGTTTGACTTATGAGCTGTAAGCACCACGGCCAAGCCCTGGGGTGGCAGGTGCAAGCTGGAAACAGGACTGGGGAGGGCCAGCAGACCCCATGACAGCAGCCCGAACAGAAATCTCCCCTCCACCTCACAGTGCCCTCAGCTAGGTCATTGTTACCCTGAAGGGTCACCAGAGGCGCTCTGTCTCCATCCTCCGTGGACAGGGACGTCTTCCGGATGGTGAATAGCAGGCGACTAGAGCCACACTTCTAAGTTCAATTACAGTTCACAATTTACCAGATTGCAACCATGGGATTGTTAGTTTGTTTTTTTGCGTTTCACTTTCCCCATTTCTAAAATGGGAATAATAGTCATTATAACGATTGAAAAAGTAGATGTAAGGTAAAAATATATATATAAAAGTAATATTTAAATATAAAACAATAAAAGTTCTACCTTGTTAACTGGTAACCTTGAACCTTGTTTCCTTGTCTGTAGAATGGGAACCAGACCACCCAGGCCTCTTAAGCTAGAAGTTCCTCTGAAACCTTCTCAGCAGCCTAGCAACATACAAGCCTCCCCTAACAGACAGGTGGGAAGTGTCCAGGAATCTAACCTGGGTCTACCACATGGAAGGCAAGAATTCGATCAGCCAGTGACCTCTTTGTGCATCCCAGGGCTTCCATCCCACTGTGCTTGGGGTCACCATGAGTCAGGGACCCACTCCAAGGCAGCTAAAAGCAATAGAGGATGGGTAGGGAACAGGCAGGGGCACTGAATTGTCCACCGTTAAGTGCCTTTGAGTCGGTTCTGACTCATAGCAATCCTGTATAGGATTTCTGAGAACAGCTGGTGGGTTTGAACTGATGACCTTGTGGTTATCTTATTCTACAGTGCAACACCAGGGCTTCCATTGTTGTTATTAAGTGCCATAGAGCTGGTTCCAACTCATAGCAACCCTGTTTAGGTTTCTGAGGAGTAGCTGGTGAGCTTGAACTGCCAGCCTTGCGGTTCAAACTGACCTTGCAGTCTAGTGCTTATCCTACAGCGCCACACCAGGACTCCAGTGTTTACTGAGTACCTGCTATGTGCCAGACACTCTTGCACCACTAAGGATAAAGCAGTGATCAAAATGAAGTCCTTGCCCTCATGGAGCTGACAGTCCAAAGCAAGGAGAGATACCAGGAAGCAACTGCTCTCTTATGGGGAACTGGACCCTGACCACACAGTGCAAGTGTCAGTTCCTAGCCACTGCCCTCCTGGGGATTCAGAAGTAACATTCTCTACTCCACAGAAGACACCACAAGCCTATTTGAAAGGCAAGCCCAAGGCTGGAAGAGAGTATCTGTTCTGTATAAAGCTGACAAAGGGTTTGTCTCCAGAAGTTTATAGTCTCAAGAATTTTTTTAATGAAGAATGATTATGAGACAGAATCTCAGTAGGAAAATAGGTCGAAGATACGATCAGGCAATTCATGGAAGAGAAAATCCTATTAGCCAATAAGCACTTGGGCATATTCCCTTGCCCAGACTCACTAGTAATTAAGGAAATGCTAATTATATTAAGATACCACTTTATACCCATCAAATTGGCAAAAATGTAAATGATAATGCAAGCGTTGATGCAGCTGTGGAGCCCTGGGAACCGTCAGACACTGGTGGAGTGTAAATTTGAACAGTCACTTGAAGGTCATGTGGGCTAATCTACAAAACTTCCTCCAGAGGTTCACCTGGGTCCCAGGACATGGGCTGCACAGTTTGTGACAACTGCCTCTTAGCAGCAGTCTGCAGGCCACTCTGCAGAAGGAGGGGGACAGAGAGTGTGGAATTAACTCTGTGCAGCAGCTAAAATCAATACAGATATACATGCATCGACACAGCTAATCTCCAAATAGCAAGTTACAGAATGACACCTGGATAGAACTTGAAAACAAGCACACACACATACAGAAAGAATGTAGACATTTGCATGAATGCCTAGAGTTTAAAAACACGCAGAGGAATGCTTCCCTCCCAGTTTCTGAGACATCTCCTCGATCCTTGGAGGAAAAAGGTAGAAGACTGCGGTAAGAGATGGGTCCACAGGAAGCTTGAGTGCACTCAGTAATCTTTTCTAAAGCTTTCAAAAATGGAATCAAAGACGACAAAATGTCAGGGTTTGTGAAAGTTGCTAGTGAACACAGCCATTGGG